TGGAAATAAATGAAGCCTTGTTGCCTCTCCAAATGAATCGTGAAGACGTAACCAAATATTTAATTTACTTAAATCTTAATCTTCCGATAAGGTGATAATTTCGGCATGCTCGAAAAAATAAGTAATGCCATCGTATTAATATTAAAACCACTTCCATTCGTGCCTACACGGCCCGAAATTGTGTGCAAATTGACGATGTAAAAGGATTCCGAGGATCCCAAAAATCAAACACATCCAACCGGGATTTTCGGAATAAGCAGTCGCCGCCGGCTTTGCATGGCACGCCACCTCAGATTGTCACGGGCCCTCATTGCCAACAAAAACAAATTCGCGCTCAAAAGTTTACGTAAAGAGCGCGGAGAGAGCGTGCGAGAGCGTGCGAGCGTAAGAGCTGATAAAATGCCGAGTGAAATAAAGCGGCATATCTCGGAGGCGAGCCCGCGCCTATCGTTCTTCCGCACTTATCACGATAATCGCCCGATTCCCGAGATTCCACGGTACACAATGCGTACATACAAACATCGCTGAAGATAACGCGACTGCGCTCCCATCTATCCCTCTCGCTCGCCTTATCGCCTTTATTTTCCATTAAAACTTACGATTAAACAATTAATTGCATTACTCCGTTTCAAAAGATTAATATTTATACATCTGCGATATTAACACCTGGATCAAACATGTTTTAATTCACTTCAATTTTTAATACAGGCTGAACACGATGTCTGATACGATGTTGAAATAACATAGTATGCAGCATGCCGGGCTTTTTTCTTCTTTTTTTTTTTTTTTTTTTTTTTTTTTTTTTTCTTTTCTTTTTTTTTCTAAACCTATATAAATATTATTGTAATAGTGTAATCCAGTTAATCGATTTTAATTTTGTTTTATCAGAGCTAAAATTATTAATTTTTACACGTATTTGCCCTTGCTTTTCGATACCCATAATTATTACAATCGGCTGCGACCGTTATAAAATAAGGCAGTAAAGGAAGAAAGGAAGAAACAAAGGAAGGAAGAAAGGGAGGAAAGACGAGCGGGCAGGCAAGCAGGCAGACAGACAGGCAGGCAGGTAGGTAGGCATGCAGGCAGGCAGACAGACAGGCAGACAGGCAGACAGGCAAGCAAGCAGGAAGGAAGGAAGGAAGGAAGGAAGGAGCGAAGGAGGGAAGGAGGGAAGGAGGGAAGGAAGGAAGGAAGGAAGGAAGGAAGGAAGGATGGAAGGAAGGAAGGAAGGAAGGAAGGAAGGAAGGAAGGGTGGAAGTAAGGAAGGAAGGAAGGATAGAAGGAAGGATTGAAGGAAGGATTGAAGGAAGGATTGAAGGAAGAAAGGACAAAAAAGCTAAAGGTAGGGCAAGGTCCCATCGACGTTCCGTAATTTTCATTTTTCCGCCACTTACCGATATGGTATTTTACTTTACAGGTATATAAACCGCGAAAGGGAAGACTCGCGCGCTGCGAGTGTGATTACCAAGACCATTAAAAGCAATCCTTCCTCGCGTCTCTCGACATTTTCAAGCTCATGCATTTTCTTTTTGCTTGCCACTCGCTGCTAGATACTTGGCAAAACGCAATCATCCATCGGACGCGGATCCCCATTCCCGTCTCACACAGGCACTCTACTAGCCCGATACGAGGGAGACGAGAACGCAAAGGCTGACAGGGAGAAAGAGTGGCCAAGAGTGCCAGGAGAGTCGTTTCCTCTACGTCGATGCGCTCGGCTTATAATCCACGTGCCAACGGGCCAAGAAGCCCCGATACTTCGACTCCTCGAGTACAAATTGTCTTTACTGCGGCGCGGGACTGCTCGTCTACCGGCAGTTGATGCCCCGGCATTCGTCGACTCTTTGTTAAAGATTTACATCGCAGGCAGCTCTCTTTGTTTCTCTCCTTCGGACTCTCTTTCGCTCCTCGATCGGGCGCGTCGAGTGCGTTTCAGGTTCAATGCCGAGTGGGGCATTTCTCTCGGCCTGCCCGAGCCATTTCCTTTCTACAAGTGCGACAAGTAAACTCTCGTAAAACTCCAAGCCGTTCTTGTTTAACTAAGATTGGTGGTTTGAGGCGCAGGTGCATAAGTAAATACGAAATTTTGACGTAAGCGCGACGATGCAGGGACGGCACAGTCTCGTAAAATTATTTACCGAAGCTCGAGCCGAGCGCATAAGCACACTGCTTGGCCGTAGCGATGAAATGAATTCAAGAGAACTCAATGGCTTCGGCGACTCTGACTTTAACTAGGCGCCGCTGTGCTGCGGACACAAAAAAGCGTCAATTAACGTTTGTTGATTAACAAGTGCCCCGATGCTGCAGCCGAGTTTGACGAGTGGTTAATGCCGTGGCGCGGGGGAGGGAAGGGGCAGGAAGTGGCCGAAGTGAAGTAGGTGGGGAAGGGGTGTGCGTGTGACGTGGGGATGAGAGAGGGGGAGTGATACCACATAAAATTGGCAGTTAATGATCATAAAATATCGAACTAGCTAAACATTAAAAATTTTAATTTAATTTTTTCAGAAAAATTAGGCCATCATTACATTGAAGACAATCGCATTTTAACATAACACTTGTGTACTTCGAATTTCATCACATCATTGAGAAAATTTTTCCATTACACGTACGAAAATTACACGTACGAGCGAAGCATGTATTTTCCACGGACCGAGCTATTTCACGCGGATCATTAAAGAAAACACATGCCGCTATTAAATAATGTAAACCATTGGTAAATATTTGTGTTAATATTTGCGATTTGAAAATAAATATTGGGCACATAAATTTTCGTAATTTTAATAGTAGATGATTTTTATTAAAGTCTAAGCGAAGGCGTCACGAATACATGTTGCTTAATACATTTAATGTATTCCGAGCTCGACATATACAAGAGCCATCGGCTAATTGTACGAAAAGAAGAAAAAAAAAAATTAAAAAGGAAAAATAATGAAAATATTTATTCTGAATGAAGCGGATGTTAATTAATTTATGGCGTATTATTTCGGTTAAAAAATAAATAGAATTAACGCGTGTAATCACGAGTGGGTGCCCGTGTAAATCATACATGTTTTCGTCTGCCACGCGTGTTCCATCAAGGCCGAAAATAGATCATTAGGCGACGATAATTAGTATATATGCGTCAGCAAATGACGCTCTCTTGGTAATTCTAGCGGAGGCAACAAGAACGCTCCCGCGATCGACGTGCACGTGTTCCCACTGTCCCGCACTCCCGCATTCTTATTAAAGCCATTGAAATAATTGTCGTGCGCCGACTGCAGCATTGCCTATTAATTACCGCACTGTGGCATCGATACGACATTACTTGGAGCGCGCGCGCCCAGCGACAAATCGATAATGCCGAGCCAAGGGACACGAGCCCGTAACTAATAACCAAGCCAGCCTAAAAGAAAGAAAATTAACATCCATCGATACAATCATGATTAATTGGTCACCACTTGAACGCATTTATTAGTGGGGCGAAGGAGATGGAAGAAGTTCGGAAAGGCGCTTAGGCGTGTCCACGAGAGTAGCAGTAAAAAAGGCTAATAAAAAGCTAATATGATGAGAGGCGTTTATCAAGCGTCGCTGTCTAAGCAGAGAGCCTGGGTCCGTCCTGAGATCGTGCAACGACGAGAGAGAGAGAGAGAGAGAGAGAGAGAGAGAGAGAGAGAAAGCGAGAGAGCAGGATGTATAACGAACCTTATGCCTTAGCGTTTGTGCGTGATAGAACTAGGAAGGCGGGCCGGAGCAGAGGGGGCAGAGCGGTCGAAAGAGCATGGAACTGTGGCGGCGGGGGGCACGAGAGAGAGCTCCATCTAGTAAGCCTAAATGTATCGGCCGTTGACCCTCACGGCTCGCCGATCGTCCCCGTCTTTCAACTAAAAGTCGCGACTCGGCACACGGGCTCGGGATTTGTTGTGTGAGTTAATGGTATACAGGTCAGCCGATTTAGGCTGTGATACCACCGCGAGAGAGAGAGAGAGAGAGAGAGAGAGAGAGAGAGAGAGAGACGATTATTTAAGCAGACAATTGATCGTCGCGGACGTACAAAACTGGGGCCTCTCTCCGACTGTATGACAAAGAGAGTGCGATAAAAGCTACTGCGGCTGCTTCCACCATCGCCGCCGCCGCCGCCGCCGCCGCCGCCGCCACCTCGGCTGTCACTGTGATGCTGTATAGATGTCCAGCGCTCGTGATTTTCCAATGAATTTTGTTCAATCATTTATAATTTATGAAGCCCGGCTGATTATTCAAATGTACGCCTTACGTATTAAGTAGCATGATGTCATGGGCCAGGGTGGAACAAAGCCCAAATTTAAATTAAAATAAGGATAAATGATATACCGAGCACGCCTGGAAATTAATGTGATTTTTTTGTGACGAGTGACGTCAATTATGTATGTAAACAATTTAGGTTGATCACACTCAATTTAGCCGTACACGACATGTTAAGCAGCCGTATCTACGCCTGGATGCCGTGAGTCCGAGCTTTACGCCCGGAGAATTCCTTACGCTCCGCGGAATTTAAAATCCAAATGGGTATTACGAGTGAGGCCGGCGCTGTATTTATACCGAATTTCAATTACTTTTTTATACTATTTCTTCGTCGGCTTTACGACTTGTTTAAGAGCCAAATGTTTTTTCTACCATCGATGCCGTAGAGAACGCGAGGGGCTTTTATAGTTTATATTCAGTTATGTTTTGCCCGAGAAATTAAGCGAAACTGAGTTTATATATTCTCTAAACGCAATGCTAAAAATCATTAAAATAAGTTGATTTACGGCTGATATATGTTAGCGCGCTTTTACAAATAGCAATCGCGGGCAATTCGGGTTAAGTCACAAAATATGACTGACGCGAAAATTGAGTGCCAGGTGTTGAAATGTCGTACGGAATTAGAATCGCGAATCGCTAATTATTAATACCGGCTCGGCCCCAGAGTATAAAATACTGAATATAAATGCTGAATAATTTACCAGGCGTCCATACAGCTAATTTCAGCTACTGAAGAGACTACTCACCTCGCTTTTTAGGTTTAAGGGTACGTCGCAGGAGTTGTCTATCTCGGCTTCGGACTTTATCTCGGCTTTCATTGCGTGGGGCAGCATACTGTGCCTGGGTGATACCGCGGTGGCCAACATACTTGGATGCTGCCGTTGCTGAAGTAGCGTCGACTGCGGTCGAGATTGTTGCTGCTGCTGATGCTGCTGCTGCTGCTGTTGCTGTTGCTGTTGCTGTTGCTGTTGCTGTTGCTGTTGCTGTTGCTGTTGCTGTTGTTGTTGATGCTGTTGCTGCTGTTGCTGTTGATGCTGTTGCTGTTGCTGTTGCTGTTGCTGCTGCTGATGATGATGATGATGATGGTGGTGATGATGCTGCTGCTGCTGCTGCTGCTGCTGCTGATAAGTGCTCGAAAGCTGTGTGTTCAAGATGCGTAAATCTGCTGGGGGCGAAGCGGGTGCAGCGGTACTGCTCTGTTCCTCCTCTGCCGAGCCTTCCGCCATGTCAGCCTCGCATCCCGAATACTCGCAGTCTGCAATTACGAAGAAAGAAAAAAATTAGGGGTAACAATGGTAATGAAGAGGGCCACGTACGGGGCAAGGATATGGCAAAGCGCTCGGGCCACGTAATGTGACGCGAGTCGATTTTATATTCCAAACTGCGCATTATTCGCCGAATCCCATATTGTAAAAAAAGTAAAGGAGAGAAAAAAGGAGACGACCTGCCGTTATGAAAGTCGCTGACGAATCGCACACGTGTTCTTAACTGTCTTTGGGACGTGCGTGTAAAAGGGCGATGAAAATATTTTGCGCTAAACCGATGACGGGAATTTCTTATTCAATTACATTATTTTATTTTGATCGGTTGTGAAAAACGGACGGTCAGGAATTCACGACCGTAATGCACATAAGTAAAACAATTCTTAATGTTTACAAGTATTCAATCCGAAGAGTAGTTATTACTAGGCACGTAGTTTGGCGCTATATTGGTTATAATTTCATTTTTAATTTTTACTGCGTAAATATAAACTGGCTATTTCTCCCCGTCCCACCCACCCTCCCCGCCCGCCAACACCATCACCCCTCTCTGCGTCACCCTTACTATCTCACTCTCTCTTTTAATAAAAATTCAACTCTGTTGTCGGGATTATTATATTTTTATTTTTAAATCTTAAATATTGCCAGTGAATATTAAAATTTTAATCACAGAGTGTAAATATAAATTAAAGTGGTATGAGAAAACCAATGACGTCAATTTTATTGCAATAATCTCATATAAGATGTATTAATTAATACAATTCCACACTACATATTCTTGGATCATACATACACTATCTGTTCTTTATCAAACTATGAATCTTTACGATGTAATAAAATAAATATTTCAGTCCCAAGTTAATAACACTTATATATTGGACCGGAATATACTCAGTTGAAGAGCTTATCTAATCTACCAGAAAAGAAAAGAAACTAAATTTATAGTATGCATATTATTAGAATTGCAATATTAGGCAAATTAGTAGAATTCGAGCCATAAATACCAATAAAAGAACGATAGATATTATCGATGACTCATCCCACAAAACGAGGGTACACAACAGTTGGAGAAATCAGAGGCTTCTCTCGCCTGACCGCGAACCCCAATTAAATGACTGCTGCATCCATTCGTTCTAACATTCCTCTCTCTCTCTCTCTCTCTCTCTCTCTCTCTCTCTCTCTCTCTCTCTATCCCTCTTACGATCTCATTCCCTTCTTCTTTTTCTATCTATCTCCCTTAAATAAGAATGTAGACGCCGAAAATTATAAGGAACTCGCATGTCTTATGACGTTTCAAAACAAAGTTAAAAAAATCTTTACTCATAAACTGGCCTTTTCGCCCGTAGCGACATTATAAAAAGCACATTGCTGCATTCGACGGACATGAGATTTTTATATATAATCTCCCATGATTTTGATCCATCTACAAATCTACCGTTTTTTGGGGGACGAACCTTGAGCATCATAAGGCATTATTTTAAAATAAAAATTAAAACAGGCTAGTATTAAGCGATGGACTTGCAAAGACACAAAGCAGAAATACCAACGGAACTCCAACAGACTCGAATAAGACGTAACTGTTCGAAATTTATGTGATTGGAATAATACCGCGTCGGGGCAAGTTGAAAACATAACAAATACCATAAGAATTTACATAATTATTACGTAGTGAAACTCTACTTCACCCAATTCACCGTACACATTATTTAATCACGCAAATTAAGTTGAGGCATATATTTTGTAGCTATTATTGGAAGTAATGGAGCATAGTATGTCGAGTTTTAACCGAAAACTGGAAAGTAAAAGACTTAAAACATAAATAGAGAGTTAAAATGAAAAGATAATATCAAACGAGACTTGAAAGAAATAGGGTATGAGTAAACATTTTGGATAACGTTGGCTCAAAACAGAAATGGGAGCTACGCAGATGTTGATGAGTTGATGGACTTTTTTCGTTACCAAAATCAACTAATAGCAGTAATTTTTTTTTCTATTTTATTTAACATCTCCACCGCAGTCTTTCAAAGTCCTGCGACAAAAGAATAAACGGAAAGTATTTAATTAATACTTTAATGAACTAATCATTATAATCGATAAATGATATTGTACGTCATTTGAACGTATATTACGAAACGAAATATGTTTTCGCAGTGACATATTTTGTGCTAAAAGTTTTAATATAAAATATCATTTCACTGATAATTACTGTCGCTTAGCATTTTATTCATTCTGAATTTTCATCTAAATTTTCAAAAGTCTAACGTGATCCGTTACACATATACAAACGATTATCAAATGAAATTAACTAAAAATTTTACAATACTGGACACAAACGTAATAAGCATTTTTTCGTTTTATTAAAACTATTCACAATACTGCATTACATAATTATTAACGATTAGATAAATCAAGTCAATTACAAGAGTAGTGATCTAAATGAGAATGTGATTTTGATTTATAGATATGAATATGGATAAATTTAATAAATCAGCATTATAAGGAAAGAATTGAAAGAATTCGTTTGCCAAAGCGAGACATTATCGAGGCGCCAGCCGGTTTTTCATTGCTCGTTGTATGACTACAAGATTAATTATCAACAGTTACTGAACACGATTAATATATTTTCTAATTCTAGATTTTTTACAAATAGCCTGAATACATTTCGTCTCAAACAATCATCTAATCTAAAAACTTTAATGTTATAATAGTCGCGTTGAATATCGATGCCATTATTTACGACACGTTCAAATACCTTTGACTCAGCTTATAAAGACTGATAATCATTAATTCAGTATTGGGGCATCAAATTTTAATCAACGGCACGAATTCCTCGTGATTGTGTACTTCATGGAGGAAAATAGCATTTGGACTCGATCGAAATGAAATACCACGAATCAACCGCTTGAGCGTAAATTTTCATTTTGATGTTACATCAAGCAGCGAAAGAATTTTAATTTTTCGTTACTTCAAGCTCCGAGCGAAGTCGTTCTCCCTGCGAAAATTCGTCTAACACATGTACAAGTAAGCCCACACACACGAGCCTCCGATTTTGCCAGATCGACGATTTTGTGTCTACCCACGACAAAGTACGAGCGAGAGAGAGAGAGAGAGAGAGAGAGAGAGAGAGACAGACAGAGAGATAGAGAGATAGAGAGATAGAGATAGTAAGAGTGGGGGAGGGAGGAGGAGGAGAGAGAGAGAGAGAGAGAGAGAGAGAGTGAGATAACGGCCGAGGGAAAGGAGACGCTAGAAGGGAGAGGGAGTGAAGGAGAAAGAAAACGAAAACGCGTCGGGCGTTTATCCGGGTAATTATTTTTATCTAAGTGCCCCGTTAGTAAGAATTCAAGGGCAATGGAATCGCACGACTCCGGGCCTCCGCCTCCTTCTCTCATTTCGCCGTCTGGCGCGTCTTCTTGCCCCTCCCCAACAGCCGCGATACCGGCAACCGTTCCATCGTCTGCTCCCGTGCGTCCTTTCGTTCCTCCTTGCTCATCCCGCGCCTAAATAATATTCTCCCTCATTCCCCTCCCCCCTCCTCCTCCTCCTCCCCGCCCAACAGTCGCCACAAACGCCATCTCGCCCCCTACACCCACCCGCCCCACGTCCACAAACCATCGAGGCATCGGCACTGCTTAACCCGCGCACACGTACGCGCGCGCACACGCGGAGCATCTGCTTCTATTTTTGCGCTGGCCCGGCTCCAATGCTTTTACTTTTTAAACTGTTTGCGCCTATGACGAACGGCTGGACGGATCATCCAGTGAATAAATACTATGAGCTGAAGTACACGGAGTTTGAGAGAGACGAATGTACAGGCGAAAATGAAGATGAAGCTTACATGAGCGCGCACGCATACTCTTCTTATCGTTACTTCTCGATAAGTACGACTCTCAAGCTCACCTCCACGTTGTGTCGCTCACTGTTTATTCATCTCGTACAGCCGCTTAACCATGTACCTAATTATATTATTAGTTCACCTTGTTGCTACAGTCTTCTGACCGTTCTCCTGAATCGATATACCCACCAGGCGAATGCAATAATTCCAGCTACATTTTGCAATTTAACTTTCAAATGCTCCATTTCAAATTGCCTATTATTAACATTTCATAGGCGATATTTGGAAGAAGGATTGAGCGCGATCTGTCGGCGGTATAGGATGAATGGTAAGAGTGGTAAGTCGGTTGCTCTAATTGGAAGATTCATCACTGCAAGACCGGAATATTGGAGATTAGAAAATTAAAAGCGAGTCAAGCAGGAGGATCTGGCATTTGCAGGACGGCGCGAATGAACCAATAGCGTCTGCCATCTGAGATACGTAATTAAGTGCTTTTGTTAGCGGGGGAAAGTAGTCGCGCAGCTCGAAGTCAATTGAGGATAACCGCGGCAGAAGCTTAATAATCCACGCGGTATGGCGCGTTTTTGCGCCCGAGCGACACATCGAGCCGCAGTCGGGGAAAGGGAATCGAGAGGGAGGACAAATAGTCGAAGGTGAGTCACGCGCCGTCGCGCTCCCGCGTAATATAAAGTTTGTTCCCCCGGGTGCCGGGGCTTCTATCTCGCGGCGGCGGTCACGAAGATTTCGCGAGCCCAGCCGGCAGAACGAGGGAGAAAGAGAGCGAGCGAGATCGAGGATGGGAGAGACGAGAGAGAAGAGAGATGATTTATACCGCGACGAAATTAACATTCCGCCCG